GTTTGGTCTCTATTAGACTTCTCGGCGGCGAGTCAAATGTAACGATCGCCCCGGATATTGCGAGTAAGGGAGTCCGAAGAAATTGTGGATGAATATGTCGTTGATCAAAACGCAGCTGGCATCCACCGCAACGTAGGGAGCTTCAACTGGACTATCCCAACCATACTTCCCGTGTATCCCTTCTATGATCTCGAAATCGTTCTCACGACCAACGACTCGATATTTTCGCAAGCAAAATCGTTCTTCACCATCGATTTGAGTCGTCAAGCTGTCACTTCCTCCTCGACATCGATATCGTCGACATCCTCATCAACACAGTCAAGCAGCCAAGCATCCAGCACTTCTCTCCCCCCCGCTACAACTACGAGTAGCACTCCCACCAACACCCAATCTCCATCAACAGGTAGCAGTCTCAGTACAGGCGCCAAAGCAGGTATCGGTGTCGGTGCTGCCGCAGGTGGTATAGCTATCCTCGCGCTTCTTGGCATATTTATATTTCGGCGAGGCAAACGTGCCGCTACTCAAGCCGAGGAAGCGAGTAAGGTTGCTGCGGACAAACCGCTCACGGTGAAGGAGCGGGCAGAGCTGGACGATACGAGGAGGGCTGCGGAGTTGGGAGCTTATCCTCCTTCGCAGATGCATGAGATGGCTGGTGGGGATTACTAGGTGGGGTGTTATAGAAATCGGGTAACCAAAGCACATGAGAGGAGAGTGATGTTTAATATCAATGATATTTTGCAAACTAGTGGGTTCGAAGCCTCCTTTTATTATCGAGGTTCGAAAGCTTCAATTTAACTATTGAGATATACAAATTCCTTTTCTTCATCTTTTTTTCTCAAAATGCCACGACAAGAAAGAACTATTTATGTAAGCACTGTAAATAAAAGAATTAGGTTAGAATGCTAACGCACACAAACAGTTGGGCTCCCTTCCCATATCCAGGTATCGTGATACGTGTATCTGCTGGTTGGCCGCCCCCACCTATCTATAAAAACGAACGTCAAGTCCAAGACAAGAAGTTCACTCCAGATGAAAAAGAGAACAATTTGTTCAAATTGCTTTTCAACAACGATATTGTACAGGAGAAGCTCTATTCATATTGTGGGGACATGCGAGACTTGGACATAGAAATGTGTCGACGTATGTTGCCGAACATCAGTATACTGGAAGTCATATCACAAAGTGGCCACGCCTCTCTAATTAGCAATCAAGTAAGGTTTAGAGATCTTGTCGTCTCTTTAGCTGGTTCATCGGATGGCAGTGGTATTGGAGCGATTGCGTCAGTTATCCCCCGTAATGATAACATTAGACTTTGAGCAAAATTGACATTTGAATAGCTTAGGGCCGAAAGAGATCGTAAGGTTTATGTATCCGGTAGACAAGTACCGGGACAAATACATAACCCCACATGTGAAGAGTCTCTTAACTCTGTATGAGAAGATAGAAGCAAGGTGGAATGCTACATGGGATGAGACTCTTGGGAAGAGGAAAGCGGAAGAAAAGTCTGCGTCCAAAGAAACGTCAAGTCAAATTTGATTTCGAAGGGCTTCTCTGTATTCCGGGGACTGAGAATCTAGATGTCGATGTTTCGGACTTTGAAATTGTTCTTCCGGCATCCATGCTTTTCAACATTTTGTACTTATATTTTCTAACAACGGATTGTGCAGTTCTATCTCTAGTAATATCTTTTGCAAACGCTCTATGCTATAATAAATAGCGGTCTACCCCTTCTAAAAGCTGTAATGAGTTCATATTGAGACATATCACCATGGCAGTTCACGGTTCCCTACGCAACCCGATAACTCACCCGACTAACCCCCTTACTCCTCGAAATCTTTCTAACCTCCACCTTACCCACCTGATCACAAGTCGCCACATGCGTCCCACCACAAGGATAGGCTCCCAACCCCTCCATCTCCACAACCCTCCCCTCAGTCTCTCCCTCGGGCAACTCAAACTCATCACCAACACCCAAACAGCCCTTCCTCAGCCTCTCCATAGACCACCAATGAATGCTCACTTTCCTCGCACTAGCCACAAACTCATCAGTCTTCGCTTGAATAGCAGCAAGATGTTTCGACTCGATCAATCCCACAAACTCAACAGCCGCCGAATCAGGATAATGCGAAGCTTTGGACTCGACGAGCGTTGATGGTAATGTGCCGTTCTGCATCAGTGCGTTGATGGCGAGTCCGAGGATATGGCCTGCTGTGTGAAGCCGTGAGTAAAGATCGCGTTTCTGGCCGTCGATGGATTGCTGGATCTCGTCGCCGACTTTGAGATTTGCTTGGTTGGTGGGGTTGAAGCGTCCGAAATGAAGAATTGCGCCCCCAGATGCGGGATGACGAACGGCGCTCACTTCGAATGTTGAGTTCGATGGGGTTTCTGATTCGGATGAAGATGAGGACGTGGTAATGGTGCCGGTGTCTGATGGCTGTCCGCCGCCTTGGACGTAGAATATCGTCTCATTTGTGATTAGAGCGTAGTCATCTTCAGATACATTCTTCAGCAGTGATTGATCGGAGGCTGGAAGCGCTGAAACGGGTGAGATAGAGAGAACTCTGCTGAGGTGTTGACGGAGGTCTTGGTTGTGTTGGTAGATGAGTTTTGTCCGTGCGGTAGCCATTTCGAAGAGAGGCTGGAAGCTTTTTCTGTCAAGTGAATCTAATTTTGCCCAGCCTTTGAAGGGGTCAAGCACAAGGAGAATAGAATGATTGAAGAACTTCTCGTTGTTGAATATTGTTGATGTTGAAGATGAGCGTAGGAAGTGGTGATGATGTACTTCTTGATAATATGGGCGGTGAGGTAGTGCGCCTTTCGAGTGACAAGCGAGGGCAGAATCCCCCATCCCTGAAAACAACAGTCATACTCGAAGAACTTTCGAGAAGGTTGTAGAACATTTTAAATCATTTTCCATGAAGAAAATCAAACCCAGTTAGTAATTTTAGCAATTTTTTTGGTTACAGATTCTCAAAGCTCTAATTGAATCTATCCTTCAACTTTTGTCGGTATTTTGAACATTTGCATATCCATTAGCGAGATTGAAGTTTATTGACCACAAAGTCAATAGAGGCAAGCTGTTTCGTGGCATTGACACGAATCGAAATTTATGAATCTATATTTGGAGTAAGTATATAGCGAGTTTCGGCAGCAATACACATCATTCTTGGAGAGGCCATTTCCATTTCATTGAAGTAAAAGGCTCAGCGGTTGCCGAGAGAAGGACAAACTCCACCGACTGCCTGGGCACCCAACGAGTTATGAAACAAGCACCAAAAAGAACATGTTTTCTCAGAACGTACCACATTATACTATGGAACAGAGTGAACCATATTTCCTCTATGACTTGCCATACTATCACCACTGGTTATTCTCACTTTCTAATCACGTGAAGCCTTAGTCATTGGCAGGATGTCTGCGGCTTGGGGAATTTCCGCTAGCCGCAACCCCGCAATGTTTGGATTTCGGGTGCGGAATTTCCCTTCTCGCTCCCTCTGAGGTCGCCTCAATCCGTATACCAGCACAGGACAGGACAACGCTGTGTATGTGACTATGAACATTCTCGAAAGCCAGGTCGCCGATATCAACTACCTCGTGGACTCGCCAATCACACCCATATCGCCCATCGCAATTCCGCGCAGCATGAACGGCCACCGCCAGTCGTCGAGTGCGGAAAGCCCTGCGGAAACAGGCAATAATGGGGGCGGAAACAAGAGGAAACTCGACGAGGCTAGCAGCGGCGCGAATGGAAATACACATACCAGGGCGAAGAGGAATAGATACATCTCCATTGCATGGTACGTTCAGCTGTTTGGGTTGTGGTGGGAGGGAGACTCGAAGTTGTGCCGGATCGCATCCATCAAAGAAACCCGACAATGGGAATGGAATTAACAATAACAATGTTTAACTCTACTAACTGGCACTTCCAGCAACGAATGCAAGCGACGCAAGATCAAATGCAATGGAAATACACCCTGCCAACGATGTGGAAACCTCAATCTCGATTGCCAGTATGCGCCGAACTGTTGCACGAATGGCTTCAAGGAGTCCGAGGAGTTCCGCCAGATGAATGCGCATCTTGCACAGCTCCAGGAACAAGTGGATAGTCTATACGCAAACCTCAGTGCACTGCGGGCTGCTGGAGATGCTGTCTCTTTTGTGCCACCGTCTGAGAGCTCAATGTCGGTCCCTCCGCCTATATCTCCAGGTAACAGATTCCGACCTACCCCGAAGCATCCGTCTTTTCGAGGCCCAACCAGTTCAGCGTTCAGTTTGGATGTGGCCAAAAATACACTGCATAATATGGGATATCAGGGGCTTGGGGACGAAGGGGTCATAACTTCAGATGCTACTCCAATTGGCTCCCCTCCGCGAAGACAGAGCCAGGTCCCCGCCATCCTCAATGGAAATCCTTCCAAAGACCCAATATGGGCGTTGAGTAAAGAAGAGATGATCCGGTTGTGCAGGGTGTATGAGGAGGAGATGGGCTTGATGTATCCTGTCGTGAACATTGAGCAGATTATTATCCATGGGACGCATCTGTATGATTTCATTGAAGCGGCTGTACGGAATGGCCTTGTCAATCCTTCACTTCCTGGTCAGGGGATCCATGACGACCAATCTTTGGTATTGAAGATGGTCCTCGCTTGTGCTACGGTTGTGGAGGGAAATGGACAAAGCGAGATTGGATACAGACTATTCGAAAGCGTGAGGGAGGCTGCGGATCGAGTCTTGCACAGTGAGACTATAGAGGTTAAGAGCCTACCGTTTGTGGTACTTGTGGTAAGTTAGAATTCCATCATGTGGTTATTTCGTCGCTTGGGTGGGTGGTTCGCCTCAAGCCTTGGTGTTTTGGCTTGAGGCGCATTCCTGTTTCAGCCATCTTCTATGCTGCCTTCTTGCAGAAAACGTTCGGTCAGCAAAATGGCTGGAAAGAGCAGGTTATCATCCCGAATGATATGAATAAGTTGCAGTCGGGGGCAAAAAGAGACTGTTCAAATGGGTCTCAGCAAGGATCGAACTTGCGTCTCGCGCGAGGAAAATTTGAGCGAGTTGTGCGACCACTACACCATGAGGCCGTTGCTTAAACCAACATAGATATCTTACCGCACTATTTATTTACCTCTGCATCCCAGATGTGGGGCATGGCTAGCTGGGACAAGTCTGATTGGGTTTGGAAGTCCGAATCTTTCAGCTGAGCTCAAGGGAGAGAGAGCTGCCTTGCAAGTTGGTGTTGGGGCTTCTGCAAGCACGTTGCTGGTCTTATCCACGAGCCTGAACATTTGTTTTCTGCGATGGGTTAAATAGAAGGAAGCTGACAATCATACAGTCGATATATCATTTCCATTGTGATGAAGAGGCACTTGCGTGGAGAATCATTGGCCAAGTGTAAGTGATCAGAGTTGCTCACGAAATTACATCGTGGCTCAAACCTTGATGTCACGTACTGACCTGGCAATTTTCTAGTGCTCGAATGTGTATCGAACTTGGGCTACATAGGAGAGACTCGTTCTTCAAAGTCATTACTGACGATGAAGAGAGATCGAATGCTATCAAACTGTTCTGGTCAATCTACGTGCTTGACAGGAGATGGAGTTTTGGAACTGGCATGCCGTTTGCATTACAGGATGCAGACATTGATCCAAGTCTGCCCGAGCCTGTGAGTTGACCCCTCGCCCGACAATTCTTCAAGCTGACAATCGCACAGGAGCTCAGCATCCCCTACCTCAACGTAATGATCTCCTACTCCCGTATTGGGTCCAAAGTCTGGCGCTCTGTTTGCAGTTTCTCACCCGCCCCCGCGCCCACACTGAACCTAGAGGACATTGGATACCTCGACTACCAGATCCTACAATGGCAAAAGACTATTCCATCTGAACTCCAACTACCCACGGCCTCCTCAACTCAGGCCTCATCCCGCGCCATCCACCGTCTTCAAATCCTCCTATACCTTCGCGCCAACCAGATGCGCATCCTCATCTACAGGCCTGTCCTCCACTCCGCCTCCTCTATCCAAGAACATCCCAACTATGCCGACACTGTCGTAGAATTAGCTAAAGACACCATCCGCGCCCTCACACATCTCAATCAAACCTCAGACATCTACCGCGTCCAACAAGTCTGCTTTAACTACTTCCTCATCTCCGCCCTCGCAGTAATCTTCCTCGCAAGCTGCCATGCACCGGTCCAATTCAGCGCTCTCTGCAGAGACGAATTCTACATGGCGCTTGACCTCGTCAAAGGCTTCAGCACCAAATCCTTCGTCAGTAAACGTCTCTGGAAAACCATCAAGGGCCTCAAAGAAGTTGGTCCAAAGTTAGGTCTTAACCCCGATATCCGAAACGGGCTTCACCACAATGGTATGCGTGAGGACGATGCACACTCCTCTGCCGCTTTAGCGATGGCTGGTCTCGCTGGTCATGAGATCAGTGGTATGGGCGTTGGTGTTGGTGGCTATGGAGGCGATATGGTCGGTACGGGTAATAGCCCCATGAATGGCTTTCAGATGAGTACTGAGATGACGAATCTGTTTGAGGCTGCGTTAGGAAGCGTGGGTATGAACGGTGCTAGTGGTGGGAACTCTGGGACTGCGTCTGCCGGCGCCGCAGGGAATTATGTTCCTCTTGAGGATAGCTTAAGTGGGATTGGGAGTAACGTCTTTGGTGGTGATGAGGAGCTGTATCGCCAGCTGAGGGATTTGTTTTAGATACCAGATGGGAGAAGTACCTTCGGGATATGCAGCATCTTGAAAATATATCGTTCGAGTTATTCGCCTATGCACTGTTTTGATACATCCGCACCATGGAGATGCGAATGGCCTTCCTCGGACTAAAGAACAATTCCCCTCTGAGATGTAGCAGGTAAGCTCCACTGCGGATTTGGGAAGACGTGCAGGGACCTGCTGGCTTCGTTCAATAGATCCCCCACCATTTGAGGTTATACCAAACCGGGATTCAAGCTTCAAACCTCAACAGAGGGCAGGAAGCTTTCAGGTTTGATTATTATTAAATGTATTATGTTTTTTGTGTAAAATTATGGATATTAAAATATGTCCCCGGTATTATTGGTCCAGTAATCTTTCAAATTCAAAAATAAAACGAATCCAACAAACAAATGATCTACAAAGAAAGTCAGGCGCTGAGCTCCTTCGAGGTACCTTGTGCAACTCCACTCCACCCACGTGATTTGTGGAACGCGCTCTCTGCTCAGTCCCCGCGACCAGACAAGAGGCCAACAATTGAAATGCTCTGCATCTCAACGGCCACCCACTTAGCAAACTGAGGCCTTTCACCAAACCCTTTCGGCCAGGCTCTCCGCAAGGAGGAATGTCCTGACATGCACACAAAAGGACACTGCAGGACTCATGCACTGCACCGCTAGGCTGCACAACATATCCTAAACAACGCAGATGCCTCCTCATCCGAGTGTGCCTTGTGTACCACCCTCTTTTCCGTTGATACGCACCGTACATTCAACCAGTGTGAGAAAAAAAATTCAAACTATTCGAATAGTATTGAATAGAATAGAATAGAATAGAATTTGAATAGTACTTTTTTTGACTTGAATAGAATATAATAGTATTAGGTAGTATTCTGAATACTAATTAACTATTCAAGAGGTTCTTCGGAACTTACCCGAGCGTTCCTCGGAAGAGGCTAAGAGAGGCCGAGAGAGGCGGGTGAGACCGACGCCTAGCCTAATCAGGAAGTACTAGTCCTATAATAGACTAGTTAAGTCACGGGATCTTAGTAAGCAGACTATTCGAATAGTCTGAATTTGAATAGAATAGAATAGAATAGAATTTGAATAGTACTTGAAATCAGTTGAATAGAATAGAATAACACTCACTATTCTATTCTATTCTATTCATTTCTCACACTGCATTCAACCTTATGATCAAATCACTTTTAAGGCGTCTCTGGCTCGCAGTTTACGATGTGCGTCTCTCGGCTGAAAACCTCATTCTGAAGTACCGCTCGACGGTAAATTCCTATCAATTGTTACCAATATCCACGACATCCAGACCAAAACCGCAAGCCAAGATGGGCTTCACAATTAGTCGACATACTTCCCTTATTCTTGCCCTCTTCTTGATTTTCATTACTGGCAGTGTCAGTACTGCCTTTGTGTTGCGTGCAGCGAATTTAGCAGGTAACAGATTAGCAAACCATGCATTGTTCCCAACAAACTAATGATGTACCCTGTGTAGACTATACTTCCTTACTCGATGCCTCAATCGAATCTCTTAGTAGTGGCTTAGCCCGACGGAAATTTACCAGTGTCGATCTAGTCAAGGTACGGTGGCTCTCCTTAGCTTACATGTGCCATTTTCTCCCATTGAAAGAGAGATACTTTTGAGCCAATCAAGCGCAAAAATGAGACTTGAGGGCTTGCTGATGGTTCGAACAGGCTTACTTAGCTAGAATAGCTGAAGTCCAAGAAGATTTCCATGCTGTGACGGAGGTCAATCCAGATGCTTTGTCGATTGCTGCCGACCTAGACTTGGAGCGTCTGCATGGATCTCTCCGCGGGTATGACTTCCTTTACTGTTAAGATTTGCCAATTGCTCACCATGTCAGGCCTCTCCACGGAATACCACTTCTCATCAAAAACGTCATCGCTACAAATGACAAGATGAACAACACAGGTAGAGACTTCATATCTCTCTGCTTAACTTGATTCAGTGCTCACATTTTGCAGCTGGATCTTGGGCACTTCTCGGTGCGAAAGTACCTCGTGATGCCACGGTTGCGAAAAAGCTTCGAGACGCTGGAGCTATCCTTCTAGGCAAATCCAGTCTCACTCAATGGGCCAATTTCCGGTCCGATAATAGCAGCAATGGCTGGTCATCGCTCGGTGGTCAAGTTTACGGGCCGTATTTCCCACGCCAGGATCCTTGGGGAAGTTCAAGTGGAAGCGGCGTCGCAGCTACGTAAGTTATTCTTGCCCTGCTCATGTGCCTTGGGCTTTATTAGTAGGAAACTCTGACAGAATAGTAGCCTTGGTCTGGCATCTGGATGTCTTGGGACAGAGACTGATGGATCGATCACAAGTCCGGCATCATCGAATAATCTAGTTGGAATCAAGCCGAGTACTATGTGATTCCCCCAATATTCTCAACCCCGCGCTAATGTGATCCCCAGCTGTCGGTCTAACATCCCGATATCTTGTTATCCCTATCAGCGAGCACCAAGATACGGTGGGACCCATGGCAAAATCCGTTAAAGACGCTGCCTATATCCTACAAGCAATCGTAGGACCGGATCCGCATGACAACTACACTTCTACCATTCCGCATACACCGGACTATGTTAAAGCGTGCAAGCATTCATCCCTTTCTGGCATGCGTTTTGGCATTCCGCGCAATGCTATATCACTCGCGCTTGATTCTAGTACCCAGCCACAGATAAAAGCACTCGGCCAAGCAATCAAGGTCCTCCGAGCTGCAGGTGCTACTGTTATCGACAATACCAATTTTACCGCCGCAGACGAATTCTGGAACTCTAACATTTCTGCACGAGTTCTTGAGGCCGACTTTGTGGTGAATTTGCAGGGTTACTTGACCTCCTTGACACACAACCCGAACGATATCCATTCCCTGGATCAATTGCGTAACTTCACTCGGAATTCTTTGCTGGAAGAATGTCCCCTCAGAGATACAGGGGTCTGGGACGCCGCCCTCAGTGGGTGGAATAATACAGATCCTCGCTTTTGGCCCGCATACCAGCAGAATCTATACTACGGTGATGACGGAGGTTTGCTGGGAGCTATGGAGCGTTTCAAGCTCGACGCCATCATCATGCCAGCGGATTTTGCAGCTCATTGGGCTGCAACTGTAGGCACTCCGATCGTGACAGTCCCACTGGGGTTTTATCCACCTGGGACGCCCGTAGTGAAGGACTCTTGGGGTTTGGTCGAGTCGGCGCCCAAAATTCCGTAAGCTTATCCGAGTTCGTTCTTATGACGAAACAGCAAGGCGGAACTATTGGGTTATAGCCCTTTTGCAATCTAGAGTCCTCACTGACACTTAACCTAGGTTTGGGATTAGCTTCATGGGAAGGAAGTTCTCTGAGGAAAA